ATGTATGTATGTATGTATGTATGTATGTGTGTATGTATGTATGTATGTATGTATGTATGTATGTATGTATGTTTGTATGTATTTATGTATGTATGTATGTATGTATGTATGTATGTATACATATATATACATATACAATAAGTATATATATATATACACACACGTACATATATATATATATGCACACTGCACACACATATGTATATATGCACAGATACACTGGTGTATTGTGCAGACATATGCAGGTATGTTTATGTACATGTGCATGCATGTATATGTACATGTGATGAAGACCATATCCTCACAGAACCCGCGAGCACCGATACATGCATACATGAACGTTCAGCAAGACAAAAGCACGTGCAGCATGCAACCACACATATGTACATGTGTATATATGTATACGACCCGTATGTATACATGCGGTATCTTCTGCGGCTTGTTTGTAGTGCTAGAAGCATATAAGCGCCAAGTGGTATTTGGCCATTGTAACACGTTTCACGCAGCACTTTGCACACCAGTGGAATTCCGCGTGCAAGCCGCGTGCTTCGATTCGCGAAGCACTTCGATCTGCCAGTTCAGGCAGCCATAAGTATTGTGCAGCTGGGGCTCATGATCTACTTCGGAAGTGGAAGTGCTAAACCCTCAGCCAATGTACCCCTAGCAAGCCCCTAACCTTATAAGCCCTACGATAAGAATCCCAGGGTTTTCGGGTTCATAGATAGGGCTAGCTATCTAGAGATAGGGCTAGCTATCTAGCAGGACCGTTACTGTGGCTTTATAAAATATCTTTGTCCTAAGCCGGCCAGAAGCTACTCGCCTGCACATACAAGCAAACTATCCGTCTAATTTGGCAACTGGCAGGAGCGTCCACATAACACTCCTCAAGCTCCCAAGCTGCACAGGTAATCTTCCACTGCAGACAACCTGAGCCGCTCTCGAAAACTTTAGTTGTTTAGTGACCCTGTAACAGTTGGCCGGTTAAAGGGGGGCAGGTATTCTCTAAGACAACAAGGGTTCTTCGAATTGCTCCAGCTAGATGCTAGATGGCGCTCTTTTAGTTCGAAGATCTCCATGATCCGCGGGTCACGAGAACAAGAACTATTGGTACGTGTAGGCGCAAACCTACACTTTATGCTTTTGGGACCTAAAGCCAGCTAGAACTGAAAGAGTTTCGACCGTCTATATGCACACCGAGCGACAAGGTAGAGACAGATAGGTATAGAAAGATAGACGGATAAGTAGCCCTAATTCCCCCAAGACGTAAAAGTATACACCACTACGAACCGTATATAGCTCACTGAAGTTGCGAGGCCGTACGAAAGTGAACTTCCAGGCAATTGGGGCCCTTTTCCTGAAACGAAGAGTGCCAGGTGCCCTTTGCATATGGCGCTTGCAGACAGGAGGCTGGGCATCGTCCCACGGGTCTGGGGAAACGTCCACATTAAGATCGGGTTGGCGGGTGTCTTGGCCGTAGAGCTCCCACGTTCGCCAAACCTGGGCTGCAGGGATGGTTCATGTGCAGATGGGCCCGCTCTATTAGGAGCTTTCTATAATATGCTTTGAGGAATGTACCTTCTGGGGTGATACCCGAGAAGCATTGCATCTAGTACAATAAATTAAGAGTTTAAAGCAATCTGTCAAGTAGCATTCCTTCCAAAAGAAGAAGGGTACGTCTGCGAGGCCTTCAAGTTCTTGGACCCTCTGTATCGTCTCTTCCCGTCCTTGTCCGTATATCGAATAGAGGTCGTGCACGGCCCGAGAAACTCCCTGCGTCGAAGCCTCCTGTATGTGCACCAAACAGCTTATGGCTGCCGTTGGCACAAAGCTTGCAACTCATGTGCACATTGGGAATGACTGTCCTTTGCAACCGACGAATGAAACCATCATTGCTGAGAAGCTTGATGCATTTTGGGGTCGGTCCACCAAAGCTTCCCAGCCACGTGCTCACTTTGTAGTGGGCTTTGCGGTTCAGGAAGTCTCGTAGACGGATGTGTTGGTCCACCTGCAGCTAGCTGAGTATTCAGGATGTTACCGCCTTACAACTATATGCTCCAAAGCCTTGCCTACAATCACCGGTGTGCATGGACCTATAGACACAAATTAAGCGGCGGGCCATTGATGATGCAGGGTTTTCAATGCACCAGATGCAGCCATAGTATTCACATAGCATCAGCAACAACGTAACCTCGAGTATTCAGCCACGGTACTGCATGCTGTCACACGTACAAGCTTGATTGCTCCCCCTCCGTGTCCCCTTCTGTCTCCGGACTCTCTTTCCCTCTCTCTCTCTCTCTCTGTCTGGAGGGAGATGTCAACATTACACGTGTGCAGCTGCTATTGAAAAACAAGCGAGCACAACGAATGCTTGGTCAATCGCCTATTCATCAGCAATTAGCAGTGGTCCTAAACTTTCTCGATATTCATGTATCACATATTCTGCCACGAACTGCCATTATTTTCTATAGGTCCTAGGCAAACCCTGCGTGAACCCTCTAAACCAGCAGCCAAACCTAGTCGACTCGATGAACAGGGTTCATGAACTTATAGACTACTTATAGGTGTAAGGCTTAATTATAGTAAGTTATAGCTGGTAGCTTGAAAGGTAGCTCATATGATGCATATGGTGGGGTTGCCAGGGGTGCTACGGACTGTATGTTCGAAACACAAAAAGTATAATGGAAACATTAAGTTGAGATAAGTAGGGCGTAGGGGATTCCCGGCCATTTGTTGCGACAAGGCTCCCTAGAAATCATCAAATTCGCGGAGGCGACGGATGGCCGGCACCTGTTATGGTGCAGGCGGGCAGCTCGAGGCATGGAAGCACAAATGCGTGGTACACAGCCACACACGCATGCACACACCATGCACGGCGAGAAGCGAGTTTCCCATCGGGTTGTCTGGCGTCCTTCCGGATGTTCCTCCTGTCGAGTGGCGGCGCATGTCTATGTGGGCGGCTTAATGATCATGCAGCAGTAACAACAAGTGCTGCATCCAGGGTACGGTTTATGAGTGTCCAGCTCGAGCACACAACCCCACCGAAGGCAAGGCCACCCCGCTGCAGGTTGCAGATGCTCCAGATGTGACGCGCGAAACCCCTTGGGGTATTAATGTCCTCGGCTGTAGAATATATCGCGAGAGTGGCAAACCGCATTCATGCCGACACATGAAAAACCAAGTATGCACATACAGGTACATGCTAGAGTCCTGGCACACACGATCCAATCATGTACACCGGCAGAGCGGCATCGATGGGAGCCCCGTGGAAAGCGATGTCGAGGGCCACCACATTGTAGCCTGAACGACGAAAAGCTTTTGCGATGGTAGCCTTTCCCGCGAACATATCCACACACTGGAAAGGAGCATTCGCAGGAGGCACAAAAGCCTTAGTTTCGCACATCAGAAACACATGAAGGTTTAGTTCTACATGGACTCCATGCATCAATATATATATATATATATGCACCCGAGAAACCTCCGTTAATCGCTTCACGATCCTATAAAACCGAATCGGCAAGCACCCTTCGTGCTCGGCTGGCAGTGAGCGTGGCACCGCTGCAACAGCACCACCATCATCCGAAGCTTCAGCACGAGGATGCCCAAGTTGCCTTCATGCGTGCAAACCCCCTGGTTGCATTTCATGCATGAGGTGATGTCGAAGCCATGCGTGTGTGCTGTGTGCAAACAAAATACTGGCCAAGATAGCATGCTCTCCCAAGCAGCATAGCATGAAGAAAAAGGCCTCACCTCGTACGGCCCTATGTGGCCGGCAAGCCAAAATCTGTGGAGCAGGATACAAACGGATGCAATCAAGTGCTTGCACATTGCACTGCACGATTGCTTCGTCACACAACCAGACACATGACACATTTGTGATTGCTCGGGGCCTGCATTGCGAAAGGGGTCTCGCATCACGAACTGCATCATAATCTTGCATCATCGTGCATGTGAATACACACACACACACATGTTGTCAAAATCTGTACAACTTGGTAGCAGGCCTGTGTTATCACACAGACTGCATGCTTCCGGAACCACGACGCATCGAAAATCAAGACTCTCAAGATTCGGTCACCTGCTCGGGATCAGCGGTGCCCTGCTTATTGGGCTTCCTTTTGGCAGCACGGAACGTACCGACCATGTCCGGCAAACAAAGTCCATAGGCCCGGAAAATCTCAGTGGCTCGGCGCCCCTGAGCTTTTGCATTATCCTTGCAGTTGTCCACCTTCAAGCTCCCATCTTTGTCAGCTCCTCCCGGCTAGGAAGATCATCTGCCGACGTGCCATCGCCTTTCCCAGCCTCGGCGGCTGCACTCTTCACCTTTGCATCCACGGGCTCTGCTTTCTTGGGCTTCTTGGGCTTCTTTGTCTCCACGGGCTCTGCTTTCTCGGGCTTCTTTGTCTCCACGGGCTCTGCTTTCTCGGGCTTCTTTGTCTTCACGGGCTTTGCTTTCTTGTGTGCCTGAGCCTTTGCATCCACTGCTGCGGGCTCGCTCACCGCTGGCTCCACGGCTTTCTGCGCTGCTTTCTCGCAAACAGCATCGGTCACCTTGGGCTCCACGGGCGCTTTCTTGCGATCGGCCACCTTCTCCAACAGCTTCGGCTTCTTTGCACGAGCCTTCACCGGCTCGGTGATGGGCTCCTCCATCGCTTCATCCTCGGGCACAGGCTCACCGTCATCATCATGATTATCGTCATCTCCGCCATCATCTTCCTCATGATCAGCGGCCTTGCTTTTCTTGGAAGCGGGTTCGTCTGCTTGCTTGCCGCGACGACGGCGCTTGTTCTTACCGCCTGCCAGGCCAGTCGAATTGTACAAAGGTGGTTCAGCCTCTGCTATACATTTGTCCATGCTTTCCAGGAACTCCGGCTGGGGCGGGCAAATCTCGGGATACTTGCTCACCTTCGGCACTGGCGCAACATCCTTCGGAGCCACGTCGAGCACCTGCAGCATACCGATTTGCACGACTACAGCTGTACAACTTTCGCAGCCGTTTACGATCTGTGTGAAGCCTTGCAGCTGGGTTGCTTCCGGGCTCGTCAAACCGACAGCAGCCATCGACTTCTCTAGACTGTCTGTGCTGCCACCTACATAGCTGGCAGAACCATCATCCTTGTCCCGATCTTCTGGCACCGGCAGGCTAGAAGCACTCGTGTCGCACCTTCGGAACGGTTGGGGGTTGGGCGCAACAACAGCTGCTTCGCCCGGCCACTTGGGCAGTGGAGCAGCCTGTGCCTCCTCATCGTCCGAATCAATGCACATCAACTGAATCAACTGAGGATTTGCAAAGGTCTGCTCACCGACTGGAGGGTCGGAGCTTGCTTCCTGTGTTTCGGCACTGACCAAGGGGACCTTGCTCAAAGGTGCCGGGCTGTCTTCCTGTGGACTTAGCTCAGTGTCACTGTCTACTATCTCCATGGGATCTACAGGAACCTGCGCAGCAGCTGCCGAAGCAACATCCTTGGAAGCCCCTGTCGACTCCTCATCATCATCAATAATGCACATCGAGTCGGAAGACCCATCACGAGTGCCCTCGCCCTCGTCAATAGAAAGCTGATTCCCTGGGAAGAAGCATCCACGGATTATGAAGCACCAACTGCACAGTATATTTTTACTTGTCATCACACAAGGCCTGCCCCGCCGTCTCCATCGTTGATGGGGACTTCCTCCAGCCGGGCATCCACATCATGCGCGTCCTCGTCCTCCAAGATGATACAATCATCCGCCTCATCAAGGTTCTCACCGGCAGATGCTTCGGGGGTCACCTGAAAAGCTTGCTCGGTCTCCGTGGCAGGACCGCTTTTGTCCTTTCTGCACATCGGCCGGGCTCGCTTATCATTGCACTTCATGACCGCTTGCAGTCGGCGGGCAGCCTGCGATTCTCAATCACCGGGCATGCCAGTGCTCACAGACACCTTGCAAACTGCATGTATGCAACCCCAAGCAACCTCGGTCTTCGTCGGTCTGGAGAGGCTCTTCCTCCAGTACCGCCGAGCAAAGCTCAGCAGGTTGGTCAAGCTGTAGACTTCCTAAGCTCCCACAAAATGCAGCTAGAACACACTGCACAGCACCCCTCGCACTGTGACCCGAGACATGGCAAGGCTCATCACTCATCCACCGTTTTAATGCAGACCGAGTTTTGGTCTTTGCGAGGCCGTTCTCGGCTTCTTCATTTAGCTTGGCAAAGATCAACTGCAGAGATGGCGCTGAAAATTCCCCTGCGTCCACGTCCAACTACAAACTTGAAGGTTAATCTCTAGACTTCCAGAGGATGCACATATGTATGCTCCATGCACAACAAGCGAAAGGCCTTCCGGAGAAAGTGAGAAGAAAGCCTCTACCAGGTCCAGATAGCGGTTCAAATCATCCATAGCGATGGGGTTGCTGATGTACAACAGTGTGTTCTCAGGAGCTACGGATCGCCCACATCGGATGAAATCATCCGTCTTCAAGTGCATCTTCAGCTTACCTAGGCAGCTTCGCAGCGTGAGGGCTTCACACAGCTGTGTTGCACAGGGAACACCACCGTATCGTGCATGCAGCCACGATGCTGCACATCGTGGTCTCCAGCTCAGTAAGCTGCACATGCAGTGCCCCAGTTTTTGCCGGCATGTCAGGCAAGTACCACGTACAGTACCCTACAAGGAGTGCGGCACACAGCAGGACCTGGCAGTACCGTGTATGTCTAGACTCTGGACCTCATGTAACTATAGATCTTGCATGTGATGAGTTCTTGCATACAATCTCGATCGGCAATAACCCTTTGCTACACTTGAATCGAGAGCGCATGCAGCAGGATGTCGGCACACACGTACACCCGCATATTGAGCCCGCACATAGCCTCTGAACGTTTCAGTCAGCAGCTGCGTGGGTGCCCAGTCCCCGCCTCGATGAACTGGCTTGCGAGGCATGTTGGCCCCCGCCGACGGCCAGCTGATGACATCGCTCCGTGCGCGATGACACAAAAGACGCTTACGCTCTGGCGGGAAAGGATAGATTGAGCACCAGGGAAATCCTTGCTGTGCTTGGGAATCCTCGTGCTACAATAGACTATACGATAGGATCACTTGAAAAGCTGAGCTATCTTCTGGGATGAATTCTTGCAGTCGAAGTACAACCATGGGTCGATCATGATGAGATACGTAATTCTATGTTCAATGAACCTTCTTGGAGTCTCGGGCCCTCCAGGCGAGGCCCCCTCGGGACGTGGCGGTACGTGCCGAATTTTGCCTCACATCCCCGACACGTCCCCCAGAGATGGCAAAACTTGGGGTTGTGCTAGAGACAGCCCGGAACGTCTGGTGGAGATACCCCGGAGCCTTTGGGACCTACCTACCTACCTACCTACCTACCTACCTACCTACCCACCAACCAACCCACCCACCCACCAACCAACCTACCTACCTACCTACCTACCTACCTACCTACCTACCCTACCTGCCCTACCTGCCCTTCCTACCCTACCTACCCTACCTACCCTACCTACCTACCTACCTACCTACCTACCTACCTACCTACCTACCTACTTGCCTACCTGCCTACCTACTTACCTACATACATACATACATACATACATGCGTACCTACATGTGTGCAACGCTCAACGGGTTTCAGCTGCTACTACGTAAACAGATTGGACCCGCATAAACCCCCTAAATGCAAACCCGCACACCCTAGACAAAAAAGAAAGCCAAACCTGCACACCCTAAACCCTAAGACTCTCAGAAGGCCGACAGTCCTACATGGTGGAGGGGTCTCCAAATTTGGGTTTAGGGCTTAGGGTGCCTCTTGCAGTCCGCACGACGAGAGTGACAGACTCCGTTGGGGATCGAATAGGGGGCCCCGATTTTAGAGAACCCTGCTTGTTCAACAGCATCGGTCAGGTGCCAGCCAGAAGTTGGAAAAGCCTATAGCCTAGAAGCTCTAAGACACGCAGCCGTCCACCCCATGCAAAAATATCGATAACAAGCTCTTGCTTGTGCCAGGAGGTTTGGCATGCCGCCGAGAAGCAGGAGCAAGCTCTTGGTGCTGCGGTGCTGCCAGCGAGGGAGTTTCGGGGAGGACTTGGGTTTAGGGTTTAGGGTTTAGTTGGGGTTCAGGGTTTATAGGGTTCAGTTAGGGTTCAGGGTTTAGGGTTTAGTTGGGGTTCAGGGTTTAGGGTTTAGTTAGGGTTCAGGGTGTAGGGTTTAGTTAGGGTTTAGGGTTTAGTTAGGGTTCAGGGTCTATGGTTTGCTTAGGGTTTAGGGTTTAGTTAGGGTTTAGGGTTTTCTGCCAGAGGCTCCAGGCACCCTAAGGTTAAGTGCTCACATTCAGGAGCCTAGCTATAACTTCAGGATCCTTCAGGAAGTTGAAACGCATGCCGTCGCCCCTAAACCCTAAACCCTAAACCCTAAACCCTAAGCCCTAAACCCTAAGCCCTAAGCCCTAAACCCTAAACCCTAAACCCTAAACCCATGCCAGCCTGAATTGGAAACGAAGAACCCGTAGAGTTCAGTTTCAACCCCAGCGACACCTCTACACGTAGTTCCCTCTCAGCACAGTGAAACTCTGAAGTCGAAATCGAAATCCAGCATCCCAGTCCGACGCTTATAGAATCACAGAGAGTATCAGACAAAAGTTGCACAGTGTAGTAGAGTATAGTGTAGTATATAGTATACTATAGTATAGTAGTGTAGAGCAGAGTATACTATAGTATGCTATAGTACAGTACAGTACAGTATAGTACAATACAATGTATACTATACTATACTATACTATAATATACTATAATATAATATAGTATAGTATAGTATTATACAAATATAATATAACATAATATAGTATAATGTAGTGTAATAGTATATAATGTACTGTGATAGTCTAACTATTGGTCTACAAACACCCCTGAGCCCGAGCAGCTCAGATCTGATCCTGGTAACCTCCTTAATTCCTGCTTGTCAGGGTTCAATAAGGGTTTTGGGGGTATTGGGGTTTTGGTGCTTTGGGGTTTGGGGTTTAGAACTGCAGGGAGTGTCTCAGGCTTTTCTTTGGGTTTAGGGTTTAGGGTTTCGGGATTCGGGTGTAGGGTTTAGGAGTTTTCAAAAATATTTAGAAGCATTAGAGGCTTTAGATCTAGAAACTAGAACGGGGTCACAGGAAACAGACAAGGACCCTATAACCCTAAACCCTATAACCCTAAAACCCAAAACCCTAAAAACCCAAAACCCTGAAACCCTATAACCCTAAAACCCTATAACCCTAAAACCCTCTTAAGAACATCGTCCTCAAGGCCAGAGGGCTTCACGTGCAACTCTAAATCGGCTGCGCTGTGGTGCTGACGGTTGGGCTGACCATGGGGGGGTAGTTCTCTAAATGAGGGCCCCCTTTTAGGGTCCCCCGTAGAAGGGTGCCGTAGTATGTTGGGGGTCCATTTAAGGAGACCCTAATTTCGAGAACTACCCATGTCATGTGTCTTTCTTGAAGGGAGAACGTTAACATTTTCTGGGTAGTTCTCGAAGAGCCAACTCCATTTTATTTGTTAGGGCACCCGAAAGACTACGGCAGTGCTTTTATCGCGACTTGGGCGACTAGGGTGTAGGCGCATGGTGTTTATGGTTTTTTGGGTGGTGCTGTTGGATATGTCTTTCAAGACCCCGGCTGCAATACGTGCACCACAGCAGGATTCGGATGTGGACATTGCATGCGGGGCTTTGACATCGTGTGGTTTGCAGCTTGGATGTGGGTTTGGATTTGTGATCTACTTCAATGTCTTTGATGGAGGTCAGTGCGCAGGTTTTTTGGTGGCTCTCGCTCTCTCTGTCCCTCTTTCTCTTCTATATACTTGTACAGACCTATATGATTATATGTCCAATAAATACAAGCAAATTCATAGATACATATATATATATATATACATACATACATACATACATACATACATACAGTGGACAGGACACCGGGGAGAACAAGGCGGAAGTTTCGTTGAGTTTGCAAATCTTTTCTGATGCCTCGGAGACCTGTCTTGTTATTGCGCAAGCCTGAGGATGTGTTGCTGCAACCTCCAGTGCCTTTTTCATAGCGAGAGTGCAAGTATGGAAGATCTCGAGCTTGACAGCCGTCTGGTTCGGGCTCGCTCTGGGCTTGGGGTGCCGAAGTAACTCTGAACTCTTTCTGCCAGGACACGAAAGCACAAGTTTTTGAGCTAGTTCTAGATCCGAAGCGCTAATAAGAACCCTGACCTCGAAACCCAACCCAAAAATCCTGGGGCTTCGACTTCGAGCCCCCTTTGACTGAGGCTTCAAACCCAGTACTCTACGCGCGAAGCCCAAGTGGCCTTCCGGATGCTTCATCAGTGCGTAAGACATGCCCCCGGCGGCCAATGTCAACGGCTTGACGTAGTGCTCATTGACCTGGTTTGGGCATGTAGCATTATTTAGCCCTATACGCCTGCGCTTCTTGAACCACATCATGGGGCTGCAAAGACCTCGACCAGCCCCCCGAACAAAAATGGATCAGAAATCTGAACACTGACCCTAGTAGCGGAGCACCCTAGCGGCCCTAGCCAGAGAAAGGCTTAACCTTTT